TTTTTTTTTTTTCCCCCCCCCCCCCCTTGCTTTATTAGCTTTATTATTATTTTTATATATTTTTTTAATTATAAGAGTACGTGGGGACTCCTTGTCTGACCCATCATTATTGTTAGTTTGAAACTGATTATGCATTAATTAGTTGATTGAATTAATTAATGACTATTCAGTATGGTGCAAATACATGTTATGCAATTCTTTTCTATATCTCATTATCTTTGGAGAATACCTACCTTCTTCTCAAGTATTTGCAACGTTAGTAAGAATTTTCACGTCTCCTTACTCTTTTCGTTTCGGAAAACACTTTCTAATTTGACCAAAGACCCATATAAGGTATGATTTAATTGTAATTGACTTTCCAATTTTGACCATGATTTGATGGGTAAAAGTGAGATGTGACGGATAAATTATTAGTGAAAATGTATGATGGTAGATAGGGTAAGAAAAAGTATGGGTGAAAATTACTTTTTTAATAAAAAATGAAAATGTTTTGTTGGAAGATGAGAGAAATATGAATTATGAAGTGTTTTAGTGAATAGAGAGAATAATATATTCGATTAAAGGTTATTTTCCTTCTTGAGAAAGAAATTGTATGGTACTTAAAATTTCTATCTCCTTTACATAAACTTTGTTGGTGATTTTAGTGTCATCAACTATTTTGTGAAACTGGATTTACTTAGATCAGACGAGAATTGTAATAGACGTTGTCTAACGAGTTAGGCGGTGCGGAGTACACACCCATTCAACGATAATACAATTTCATAGCAGGGTCCAATGCCCCCGGTAGCAGGGTCCAAGGGGCGGCAGCCCCTAGAGGGGTCGTTATTTTGGACATTATTGCTTTATGAAAACCCTTCCGATTTTCGTGAACGGAATCCAAAACGTTAAAAGATTTGGACGGGCGGATAAACGTCAATTTGACCCTAAAACCGCAAGTATCTTTTCGCGCAAACATTTTCTCCTTAAGCAAACTTTCGCATTTTTCCGTTTCTATCTCTTCGCGCGAACATTCGCGTCTACGTAAACATTCATGTTTGATAATCAATTTTCGACTCTATAAATAGAGTCTCGTAGGTGTGGTGAAACACAGACAGCTGGTGTTTGTGTCTGTCTGTGACAAGGGTGGTGTACACCTGGCGTACAATACCTGGGATATGCCTAGCAGGGCTCATTTTAGCAACTCGATATCTCAGCTCGGATATCAAAACTTACACGCCCTCCGTTCCGAAATAGATTACAATCTTTTTTTTCACTTTGGTCTCGATAACTTTTGTTTATTTGTATGTTTTCATTGAGTAGTTGACAAAATAAAATATATTTTTGTCACCTCCCGTTTTGTAGGACTTTTGACGTAGTTTTTCAATATGTAATTTTTATTTATTATTTATGTACCAAATTGTAAATAAAGTGATTTCAATTAAAAGACAAAAAACTTTTCATCTTAACTCTCAATTTGTAATTAAATTAGGGACGTCGAATATCACCAAACCCACCTATCTGCAACAATCAAACATTGTGAAATTACTACTCTACCCTCACTCGCTAGAGGAAGAAGTTAATAATGCACGGCTAGAATCTAAAATAACAGGTCGCATCGTCCTCTTCATATCTCTCAAATCTCAATCAAACAAATAAAACAAAGGACGGCGACTCATCTAAACATTTGGCCAAAATAGTATAGAGCCATCAAAGGACTTGCACAGTGTTTGATTATAAAAGTTGATGTATGTAGATGATTGGCATCTAATAACCTGAAAGAAAAAGATAAAGCCAAACACAAAAGGGCATATAATGTTGAAAAAGATGGACAGATAAATGTTCAGTAGTCAAGAAGAAGAGAAAGAAAGAAAAAAGAATCACCTAAAGCAGGATATATAGGTCTTTTGGCATGGGGCACCAAACTTACAAAAATTGAGACACTTTCACTCTCACCTTTTTGTTCATTTCACCGACCCCCCCCCCCCCAAATGTTTCACTTCAGTGATGGGGTTGCACAACATCAACAAGTCCTTAATGTCTTACGGATGCATGGGAGAATTTGCTCAAGTATTATTGTTGAACTATTTGAATAATTAAAGAAAGAATAGCTAGTTGATAAGAAATTGAATGAAACTAATAATCGATTCGATAAAATCTTTTAGGGCCTGTTTGGTGAGAAAGAAAGATATGGATTTCGATATCTGAGATATGAAGTTTCCAAAATATATGTTTGGTGAGAGTAAAAAGGAATTTATAACGGAAATTGGGAGATATCCAAATTCTCTCGAAAGGCGATGGAAGCTTGTAGAGACATCAGGAATTGATTTCAATTTTTTGTTTTTCAAATTTTCACCAAACATTAAAATGTAGAATTAAATTTCTCCAAACACTTTTCATTCAGATTTCAAAACACATATCATTTCTTTTAGATTTCAAATTTCATATCTTATCATATCTCTAAATCTCATCAAACGGGCCCTTAGTCTTATTTGGTCCAAATGTCTTGTGATTCAATTGAGTGATCCATACCCAATAACAAATTTCCGAAGGCAAATTTTTGTATTGACTTAAGATCTATGGTGTGCCTTCGTATAAGTCAATAAACATTTGTTTATTACTAAGACAAATAAGAATGATCAATTTTAGCAAAAATATAATCCATAATAAACATCACTATGAGAAGGTCTTTATGGACTTTAGGTCAATGATATAATTTTTCAAGGGGAAGGTTCCCATGACATTGGAAAGATGACCCGGGGGCGCTCCGGTGCCCCGTTCGTAAAATTGACGGTTCCTACCCCCCTAACCCCCCCCCCCCCCGG